TGGAGCGTTCCCGCCGGGGCCCGGTGCGGCCCGGCCCGGCCCGGTCCGGTCCCCGGAGGTTCTCTGGTAGAAGCCAGGCGTGGGCACCTCGCTCGGCCGCCGGGCAGCCTCCGTGTCAGCTCGCCTCTTCAGGGACACCGCTGCCGGACTGCGTGCCAAGGCGCGGTGCTTGGCTCTCACCGGGTTTTCCATCCTCTCTGCGCTTTTATAAATAACAGGATGCCATTTAAAAAAAACAACAAAACAACCAAACCACAACACCACCCCTCCCCCCAACCCCACAAAACAACGATGTCAGAACAAACACGTTTCTCATGAGTTTTGCAGGGCAAGCGGAACACCTCCCTGAGCCCGCGTGCTGCTTGCGGGTTTGCAGGGCTCTCTGCGGATGTCTGTTAAATCTGTTGACGGTGAAGGCGTGGAGTTAACAGGATAAACTTTTTGGGTTTTAACCACAGGGTGCAGAAATCACAATGCAAAAAGAAAAAAAAAGTAAAATTGTATAAAATTTTATAGAAAAATATAAAAAAGTATATTAAAAAGTAAATAAAGTTACACAAAGTAAAAAAAAAAAAGTAGTTTGTTTGTAAGACTGCAAAACTTCATTTTTGGGGGGTTTCAGGCAAAGCAGGGTGTGTTGTCTTGGGATATTGCCATGCCTTGGATGAGCTGTCAGCAAAAAGCTAAATGCCTTGGTGATTTCCTGGCGAGACATTTCTTGGCTGTTGTATTTGAGCTTAAACCAATTCTTCTCTTTTTCAGTGTGCAGCTGTTCTATGTCTTTGACTAGGAGCATAGAAATAGTACTTGGCACTTGTAAAATACTTTTCTTCACAGATTCCACCCCCACCCCCCCTTATTTGTAGCACAGCTTGTGAAGTAGGTGTTACTATTACCATTTTACAGTCAAGACCACTGATGCTCAGGTTGCCAGATGTGCTTAATATTTATAATATCCCAGTTACCGCAGTTGAGAAGATGACCATAAAATGGATGTCTTTCACTTCTAGTTCAGAATACCAGCCCCAAATTCATCACCTTTCTGCCCAGTCTGAACTCTTCTGTGTTGCAGGTAGGAGACTGGTTGTCACTTTACTACCACGTGCTTTTCAACCCACATACACTTTTAAAATCCCAGTTTGCTTGATAAAATGCAGTGTTTCATTTAGGATGCAGTAGAAGGCTTTATCAGTATGGACAACTGAGCCACCCAAACAGGACTGAAGCAGAGCTGGGAAACAACTGCAGAATTTGAGCCCATGTCACAGCTAGGAAGGTTCAAATTCATGGTCAACTCATGCTGGCAGAAATTGAGCTGCTTTAGATTTCCTGCACGTTTGATCTTATCCAGCACAACTTGAAGCTTCACCTTAGATACCTTCTGCAATTTAGAATTAAGAATAGTCTTTATATATCTTTCTGTCTTTCCCTTTTTTACCTTTTCCTTTTTCTTAGTTCTTCATAGCCCTCCTTTATGGTTATTAAACAATTCCTCCTGGTGAGCAACCTCACATCTTTCAGACTGCGGGATGAGAAGGTGACTAGCTGAGGACCATGTATGTCAGAACTGTATGATTATTCTGGGACAGCAAGCAGCCTGATGTCAAGTGGTTACAAAATGGAAGGTCCCGCTCTGGCAGCTGGTTTGAAAGAAGTTTCATAAATTTTACTCTGGGCTAGAGACTGATATTCCAGTGAAGGATAAAGATCAGCTCTTAAATCTTTGTGGGATAGATTCTGAATTTATTACAAATCTTATTTGAAGGCTGGAGCATAGCTATGCTGCTGCAGAAACGCATTTTTCTTTCCTTCTTGTTCCAGCGGGGGATTAATCTGTTAATGCCCTTTAGCTTTCCTCCAAGCTTCAGTTTAACTGTGTAGGCGACTGCACAGGAGAAGGAGTTCAGTCAATGTTCTGATCATTTTAACCATTCCTTCCTGAAAATTGTCACCTCTTCCTATTTCTGTGCATAGGAAGAGGAATAAAAACTATTTGTTCCCCCCTAATGTCATATATGGGTAGCCATGAAAATCTTTTCACCTTCTTCCTGAGACTGAATTATGAATCGCAACCTGCATCTTCTTGAGAGAGCTTCAACTGAGGCACTAGTTAAATTCTAGTAATTCTTATATTGGAAAACTATGATATGCCATGCAATACTTTAAAACAAATTAAAAAAAATTGATTTTGAGAGGTACTGAAGAACCAAACTTGTTAAAAATTTCACAGGCCATTGAATGTGCTCGTCTAGGGAGAGGCCAGGAACAGGTGCTTAGTGTCCTTTAGCTATTAGCTTTAAAACAAAACATTGGATTAAAAACTGGATTAAAATCTGGATTTAAAACTGTTATTAACCCACCTCTCCCAATTTCTTTCAGATCTCTTTGTAGCAAAAGCTATTTTTCAGTGTATCCCAACTTCAGACAGGGATGGAGATGAACCACAGTATGGAGACAAATTTGGAACATTGTTTGGCTGTACCAGTGTAAGGTGATGTTGAACAGTGTATTCTGATGATCCTTTAGACAGTGTATCTCCCAGTGGTACATTAGAAGCTAAGGTTTCATTTATTCAGCCAGATCACAATCTAAATTCTCTAATGTGTATGAGGAGTTCAAAATCTTGTTGGACCTTTATGAACTTTCTAAATAAACTTTCCAAATAATTTGCTTTTTGGTTAAAGTATCAGATCCAGTTTTTAAGATACAAAAATAGTGGATTTGAGTGTGTGAAAACTGTAAGTGCCTCGTAGCTTTAATTAAGTTTCTGTGGTCTACATTTAGTTTTCTTCTTTTTCAGGACATTCTCTTGTACTTTGACATTTTTCAGGGATAAAAATCATTTAATTTGAATGATTGTCACTCTCAGTACCTGCGTTCCTACAGATGGGCTACCAGCGAGACCAAGAGACTGTTATTGTCCTCTCAGTAAACAATTTTCTATGTAATACAAAGCATTACTTTAAAGTAACATTTTTCAGTTTTCTGTTTGAATTTGCTTTTAGGACATATTCTAAAATTGCCGCTACAGCCTGTTCTAGTGCACCACCACCACACCAATAAAAACACCTTCATTTTAATGATAAAAACCTTTGTAAAAAGATGAAAACATTGATTAATACTAGTTTTTCTTTCAAGTAGCCCAGACTACTCAATACCAAATAGATACCAATGCTCAAAAATGGCATATAAAAAAATCTGTCACAGTTTTATCACAATGAAAATATATGTATGAAAAAATGATGTGTCATGTAGAGGTGATAAGCACTAATTGCTCTCAGGATACAAGCAGTAGTATATAAAATCTACTGTGCAACTGAGATGTGGTTTATTAAATCCAGCCATTAAAGGAGCGATGTGTTGGCTGCTTTTTGTGCTGTAGACATTCCCAAATAGTTAGGTCAGGACTTCATAGTGTACAATCCTTTCCACGGAAACTTGAAACCCGTCAAAACGTTTGCATTTCTTCGAGTAAAAGATGAACTGCTTTAGGGTAACTTCACTGATTTGTCTTGAAATTTTTTTGTTCAGTTTAGGAGAGACTGTCATAAGTAATGTCAAGCCTTGTTCATCTAAGGTAAGGTTTTTAATTACATTGCTTAGATAAGGTAATGAATGTAACTGAATTACTTCTCAGAAAAGTGACAGATGTTTTTAAAATATGGATTGCTTTATTCAGGACAGATACGAAGATACAGAAGAATCATGTATTTTCAGATAGAGAAAAGAAACTACATTGAAATTGTAGGAATTGAGTTCATTAGAACGTTTTTGTGTTAATGTCCTTCATCACAGCTTAGTTGTTAGGCCATATTTTCAATCTCATCTGCATGACTGTAAATGCAGAGTAACTTGGTTTTGGCAGAGTCACAGTTTTTGCTTGAATTGCTGAGGTCAGATTTAATTGCCTGTTTCATGTTGGCTTTTGTTAAAAATAAATATTGATTAAAAATATTTGCTTGACAGTATTTAATTGAACATCTGGTAAGTAGCTATGATAAAGCCCTGGAACAAACCATAGTTTCAAGTGATCTATTTATAAGTTTCAAGTGATCTATTTATAACTCTTATAGAATTTTTCTTCCTTTACTTTGTGCTGATTTCAAAATTAAAGAAACATACTCTTTTAGTTCTCTAGCATTTATCTGCGGACACAAATGAAATTACATTAATAATTCAGAAACTCTTTTTTTTTGTAAAATCTCCTTGTTAACAGTTTTATGTAATTATTACTTTCACTTTTTAAAGGCAAAGATCAGGAAAAAAACTGTTCAATGCTTTGCCAGTGTAGTGCCAATATCAGAAAGAGAAAACTGAAGCAGGAAAGGAGAACAATTATGTTGAAGATATAATCAAGTCTAAATAAGTTTTCTTTACCATTAAAATCTTTATGTTTCTAAGGATCCTATTTACATTTGAAAATATAGTATATGAACATACTACAATGTTTTGCTGAGATTATGGAATCAACAAACAAAGGCTTAAATGAAAATATGTTTCTTACTCTTTTTACAATTACACATATTTCAGGAATTACTTTTAGCGTTTTTTTAAGTGATGAGTCAGAGGCATTCCCTTATTTTATGTCACATGGCACTATGGAATAAAAATATTAAATATAAAAATATTGTTTTAATAGAACATTAATAGGTGTAACTACTTTTACCAATGCTTTTATTGTTACTGTTTCAGATAATTGTGTAACTGTGAATAGTGTCCCTTTATTCTTTCCTCTATAGGAACATTTAAAATATTTTTTAACGCTGAGTTTGTATGCAAATCTGCTTGGGACTGCTTGTGTGCATAGATTAATAACTTGTGCAAGTATTTCCATGATTAGAGTCTAAGTAACTAATTTAGGGACTTTCAAGAGTGAAAGTGTTTTGCTAATATGTAGCAAATCCAAAAGCCTGCTCCTTTCCAGTGAAAATAACTTCATTAGCACTTGAGATGTCTGTTGGGTGTGGTGATTCTTAAATGCAGGATTTGCAAGTTCTTGCCTCCAGTTCACAGTGCTCACAGGTAGAATACTTCACCAGAAAAGTTGGTGGTATTTTTGAAATTTATAGAGGTTATTCTTTACCTCTGGCACTCTCTTTCTCTTGTGAGTTATGGCTAAGCAGAAGACACCTAACAGGCCTTGGTCTCAGCTCTGTCAATCACCGCTTGATAAAGCCTTAAAAAAACAGGTT